TGCGGATCCGGCTGAAAAGCCCATGAGAGTATTTCAGGCATGGAAAGCCAAACACTTTGGGGGAAAAAAAAAAACACCTAAATGAAAGATCTCCGCGAGTGAGATCCCAGTGGAAAGAACGGGTCATCAAAGAAGGAGGTACCTTTCTCTGAAGGGAGGAGAGAACTTCCACAATGACTACAACCTTGTCTAAATATGATCAGAGTCAGTGAACTCAAAAGGCTTCCATAGCCTTGGCAGTTCATGACAAGAGCCTAGGTTGATTACTGATGCCATAAACAAGAGTGTCAATTTGTTAAGTCAACAACAGGAGTCACTGTGCACTTACTCCTCATGTAGGACCTTTGTCCTTAGTGTGCTGTACATTGAGATTTAATGCTATAACTAGTACTCAAACAGTATTTTTCACTTTATGTTTCTGTGTGGGAGCAAACTGTTGAAATCTTTACTTAATGTATGCTAAACTGATCTTCTGTATATAAAGAGAATTGAAAATGAATCTTGATGTGAATGGAAGGGGAGAGGGAGTGGGAAAGGGGAGGGTTGCGGGTGGGAGGGATGTTATGGGGGGGAAGCCATTGTAATCCATAAGCTGTACTTTGGAAATTTATATTCATTAAATAAAAGTTAAAAAAAAAATGAATAAACAATATGTCTGCCAAATCAAGTGATTCTGGAAAAGAATAGCCAAATACAATTTTTAAAGCAGCTTTTCATCCTCTTAAGGTACTCAAAATCTCATTGGAGGAGTGAGACCATGACAAGACAGCAAACAACACAAGGCTCTTTGTTGATAATGGCTGAATCTGGCTCAGATAATTCTACAGAATTTCAAAGAGGTTGGAGTTTAGTCAACCCTGGAGGTTTTTCTTAGGCTTCCTCCCCTACCCACCCCCCACCCCTTGCTCTCCCTCTTGCTCTCACTCTCTCTCTGCATTTCAAATAAATGGAAAAAAAAAAAAACACTTTAAAAAACCTTGAAATTTTCAAACCTTCTACTTGATATCTGTTGATCAAAAACATTAGTGCTTTCTTTCTTTTTCTGCTATCAAATAAATAATTAGGGAGTAGAGAGACTGATGGCACAGATATACCCATTCATTATCACACCACCTATGAAGAACATAGAATACACATGTTGCTATTTTTCTATCTTTGTTTTTCTGTGCATCAGATATAATCACAAATTTTAAAGTGAATATTTCTTGATATTGTCTTCAGAATTTTCTATCTTACATAATTTTATTCTATATAATTTTAAAAACTAACTGAATGGTTAAACAATAGTTTAAAATATCTCTATTGTTAGGAAACTGGCACAGTTTTAGCCAGGTGGCTGCATGGCCCAGCTACCTGAGCCAGGCTCCACCCCCATCCTAATGGGATTCGCTGGTCCTGCTTCCCTGCCCGCCCTCAGGCAAAGTTTTAAAAGGGCCTGTTCCTGAACACATGCTCTCGCGGTCCTTCTCTCCTGCTCTCTCAGCTCTTGGCTCTTCTCTTTCTTGGTTCCTCTCTCGGCCCCTCTCTCCTGAGCCCTCTTGGTTTTTCTTTCTAGCCTCCTCCTCTGGTCTCTTGGCTCTCTCTCGGCTCCTCTCTGCTCTCTTCTCTCTCCTCTGTCTCTCTCTCATATAGTCTCCTTCTCTTTTTCCTTCGCCGCTCCTTCACTCCGGTCTGTTGGGTGTTCCCAAATAAACCCTTTCTCTTACTCCGGTGTTTGGTGTGTTTTGCGACGGCTAGCATTAAATATAACATTATCATTTTATAAATAGGTTTTTTCAAGTTCCCTCTTATTAAAAACGGGCTTCAAATAGAATTTTGTAAGTTCTACATTTATGATTTTATTGTTTTACAAATGAGAAGAATTTTTAATATTAGCAACAAATTTCAGAAAATAACCCAAGAATAGGGATAATTAACTGCCTTCCTTTGAGCTCTGCCTCCCAAACTTTAATGTGTATGTGACTGAGGATTTTATGAAAATGCAGGTGTGACTGACTCAGCAGGGCTGGAGTGGAACCTGCTGTTCCGAGATTCCGGTAAGCCTCTGAGGCAGGCAGACATACAGGTTAAAATCAATTAGGTTTGTGAGCTGGAAGACCACACCTTCGCCACGCCCCTGTGTGACCTCATCCCCCTACCTGGCCACACCTGGGTGACCACCAGCCAATCAGGTTAATTAACCACTCCCCTTTGGAAGTGGGTTAAAAGCCTGGGACACGGTGTGTTCACCCCTCCTCTTGCCAGGAGGGGGCTGGCTATAGCCCTGCGCCTCCAGGCTTCCTGGCCTAGATGCTCCTCCACGTGGCTGGTTCCTGATGCTCCATATGAACCCAGATTTACCTCTCTCTCTTAAATAAAGCTCTCACTTTCCTACGCACTAAATAAAAGCCTAAAATGTACCATGCTGCCTCGTTTATTTATGCCGGTATTTAGAATTCTTCTCTAAATATTAGGCAAGAACCCTCTCAGGCTTATTAATATTGAGGATTTATTAATAAGCATATGGTGATATCGTATGGCACCCCAAATCCAGTAACATATGTGGCATCCCAGATGGCACTTCTGGGGAACTTAAAGGGGCCACTTTTCATATATATTTTAAGGGGTCATTTCCGATATCACCTCCAACTGATACAGATGATGCTTAAACTATGATTTATGCATAAAGCAAAGGATTTGAACGCAGATGTGTCTACAAAGCTCAGATTTGAATGCTGACTGTAGACTGTCTCTCTGTGCTAGGGTAAGGTCACAGTACTTACTGGGACTAATGAGTGTGACCTTGTACTTGAACTTTAATTTGTTCCAGTTTGAGGAAAACTTTTCCATCAATTGGTGCGGATAGGTAAGCTCTGACTGAATACTCAATTGGTGGAGAGGTTCAATGGAAATTCAGTGATGGAGGAAAGCACCTAGCATCTCCTGACCTAGAAGGTCTTCCAACCCCAAGGTTAAGGTTGCAGAAGTTAGTATTTTAAATCTTTATATGAACAGCTAGCTTCTCAGCCATTTAAGATTCAAGAAGCCATTTTCTGACAGAAGTTGCGTTTCAGGAAATCCAGATGAAATTAGTATCTTTTACTAGACCGAGTAGGGGTTTGAGACCCAGGAGACAGCCAGAGCTGTTGCATGAAAGAAACTACTCTTTCTCTCTGTCTCTTGGAAAAATATAACCTCACATGTGAGGAATTTTCAGAAATATAATTTGCATTTGAAGAAAATGTCAGAATTATTTAACATGAGATCGGAAGCAAAAGTGAAAATGCAAATGATTGGGGTCTCTTTACAAAAGGAAGATAGTGTGGCTTCTTTGCACAGCCACAGTTCTCTGCAAGGTTTTCAAATGGAAATGCTCTCCTTGAAACATGTTAAATTTTGAATTGTCACTGGGTGATGAGTTCCAGAATGACAGAGGAAGGAAAGCCTGCTTGTTTTTCATGCAAGTCACGTTAAAACTCCTTAAAATCCCTATTTGAGTTGCTAATTTTAATTTTTTTCAAAAATAAATGGAGACCCTGAATGATATGTGAGTGGATGGATGACAGAATCAATGCTCACACCCTGTGTAGCCTATGACTGACACTTGTTTCAGTGTCCTGGATCCCACGCCCAGGTATCTGTCAGATGTGTGCCCTTGGGTTGGACACTTGCAGCTCATTCTGTCTAAAACCAAACTCGATGTCCACCTTCCCCTGCCAAACCACATCCTATTCTTGTTCCTGATAAATTCATGTCACCACCTTCCTCTTCAATGCACACATCAGAACCTAAGCAGATTCTCCAACATCCTGCTCTCCATTCTCACATGAAGTCCTGTTGATTCAACTGCTAGAAATGATTAAAAAGTTTAATTCTGATTGCCTCAGTTCAAGTTCCTGCAGCCTTGGTCTTCCTAATGCACCCTCCACACCAAAGCCAAAATCCTCCTTTTAAAGGATGAAGATCCTTAGAGGCCAGGTCTGGTGGGGAATATTTGACTGACTGTAGCCTAAATGTCACATTTCCTCATTTAGTGTTCAAGTCTTTTGTGAACTGCCCCTACTTTTCTGTTGGGCCTCATCCTCACTGAAACTGCAGTTTTACCCTCTCAATATGTCATTCTTTTTTTTTTTTTTTTTTGGCAGGCAGAGTGGATAGTGAGAGAGAGAGACAGAGAGAAAGGTCTTCCTTTGCCGTTGGTTCACCCTCCAATGAATCCGGCGCCCCAACCGGGACTAGAACCCTGTGTGCCGGCGCCGCAAGGCGGAAGATTAGCCTAGTGAGCTGCAGCGCCGGCCATATGTCATTCTCAAAAGACATGCTTCGATGGCTGGTGCCATTGCTCACTAGGCTGGTGCCAGCACCCCAGGTTCTAGTCCCTGTTGCTCCACTTCCAGTCCAGCTCTCTGCTGTGGCCCGGGAAGGCAGTGGAGGATGGCCCAAGTGCTTGAGCCCTGCACCCGCATGGGAGACCAGGAGGAAGCACCTGGCTCCTGGCTTTGGATCGGCGCAGCACACCAGCCGTGGTGGCCATTTGGGGAGTGAACCAATGGAAGGAAGACCTTTCTCTCTCTCTCTATCTCTCACTGTCTATCACTGTTTAACTCTCCCTGTCAAAAAAAAAAAAAAAAAAAAAAAAAAGACATGCTTCGGAAGATCATTTAGCACAGCAGTTCCAAGGTTCTGTGTTCAAGTCCCAGCCCCACTCGTTTCAAGCTGCATGGACCTTGAACTTAACTCTGTGCAGGTCTTTTCATTTTTAAAATTAGAATACTAATAGTGCTTACCACTATAGTTAGTGTGAGGGTTCAAGTCAAACTTAAAATAGAACTTGCAGCTTCGGCTCTGGATGTAGAGTAGGAAAAACCATTGTTCCTGGTCTTTTAACAGAAGAAGCCAAAGTACAAACTCACAATTTTTTTTTAATCAAAGACCTGAGGTCATGGGGCAATGGAACAAGGACAGGCAAAATCCACGGAATGACTTGGACAAGAGAGAAACAGGACAAGAGCAATGCTTACCTAGGGCAGATTCTGCAGGATACCAGTGAAAGACTTCAGCCAGAATAGTTAGTTAATGGGTAGAGGCTGGTGAGAAAGTAGATAGTCCTTAGAATCCACAGACAGAGGGAGCTTATACTCTTTGGCAGGTTTCTTCTCCATGAACCACACTTGCAGAGAGTCTTCAGAAAGATCCTTCCTGGAACTGGTCTTAGCTTGGGTAAGAGCAGCCACTGCAAGATGGACATTAAATACCATTATCTCACAAATAAGATCTCACTTCTTGATCAACTCATCTACCTTGTATTCATACAGGGTTTTATTCTTTGAATTGAAATGGTATATTTGAAGGGGAAAGTTCCTAACCTTATTTTTTTAATAAAAAGGGAGTAAGCACAGGGCCCCACTCCTGGCTACTTCCTGGTTCTCTATGGGCCACACATTCTGTCTATGACCAGTCGGGCAATAAAACTCAATTCATGTGTTTTTTTTTAAGACTCATCCTTCTCTGGCCTAAATGTTGAGATGTCACCACACAGAGAGGAGAAACCCGACTTGGAAGAAGTCATTTACAGAAATGGGTCCTAGGGATGATTCTGAATGTAAATCAAACCTTAGTCAAGCAAGATCTCTTAGGATGGATCTGGCAGTTGTGGGAGCAATCATCTCTCCCTTCCCTCTTCCCCCACTTTCTTTTGCTGAAGTCACTAGAGTTGTGTTTTAAAAGAATGCAGTGGAAAGACATCTAACTTAAGTATACTTTCATGACTATTAAATTGACCAAAACTGTAAAAATGACAATAACCAATCTTTTACTATGAATGTGAAAAAAACAGGATCTCTCCAGTATAACTCATGGAAATATTTACTGACATATGTATATAAATATACTCAAAATATCTATCTATTTTAAAATGTTTGTGCCATGATACTCAAAAATTCTACTTTAAAATTTTTATTTTAAGAAAATAATCAGGAATAAGTGAGAAAAACTGTTATGCATAATATAAGAAATTTGAAGCACTCTAAACAAAAAAACTAGATAGTGATACATTTATACAATACACACTAAGCAGAATTCAAAATATTATAGGAGAATATTAACGTGTTAAAATATTCATAAAATATCACTCTGTAAATGCAGGTTATAAATTATGAGTACAGTATGATTTCATTTTTGTTTCTAAAAAGTAAATCTGTATGCCTGTAGAAAAAATGAGGCTATAATCCAATATATTACCAGAGATAGGAATACCAATAATTTTTTCTTTTTGATTATTTTTATTTTTTTAAAATGTGTTTATCATGAATTATGGAATAACAATGAATATTTTTAAGGAAAATTAGTTAAATATTATGTTATAGAACGATATAAAAACAAAAGAAGACTATAGCCACAATCACATCTCTGTATTATAGTCCTTCTCATTCTCACACTACTGGGTACCTTCTTTTTTAGTCTTTTTCTAACTGTTGTTTTTCTTTTATGTTGTGGCTATCACAATACACACACAACTTTGCAACTTGCTTTTGTCACTTACTGTTTTACTGCTGTTTAATGTTTTTCTTGATTAGTATTAAATATTTCTACCCAACATTCATAATGGTCAACATATACCGATATACAAGTATTTATTCATTTAAAAGGCAGAGTGGCAGAGAGAGACAGAGCAAGAGATCTTCCATCTGCTGGTTCACTTCTCAAACAGCTGCAAACCTGCAGCAGAACCAGGCAGAAGACAGGAGCCAGGAGCTCCATCTGGGTCTCCCATGTAGGTGGCAGGGACTCAAGCACTTGAGCCATCATCTGCTGCTTCCAGGCTCATTGGCTGGAAGCTGAATCAAAAGCAGAGTGGCTGGACTTGAGTCAGCACTCTGATATGAGATCAGGCGTGGCAAACAGCAGCTTAATCCATGACATCACAACTCTCACCCTGAACTGTGCTTCTCGATTTACCGATTCCTACATTGTTCAACAGTTAGACTGTGTCTGATTATTCAGGGAAAACTCTGCATCATCATGGACTGCTTCATTCTAAGATATCTCCAAAGGAGGATGCATCTCCCCTTCTAAGGAAGGACCCTTCCAAAAGGCACAGGATGAGGTGAAAGCTAATTGGATGAAAACTGTCACCCACACCCACCTGCCTCCTTCCAGAATTCCTTCTCACTACAGAAACTTGGGGAGGGGGGGCACTGCCTCTACCACTCACCACTTCTAGACCAGACTTTCAAATACAATCGAAGAAGGGAACTTCTGAAACCTCAAAGAGGGCTGGGGCCAGGCTAAGCGCCTGCCAGAGAACAACTAAGCAATGGAGCTGGACTGCTCTTTCCAGTTACTGCTAAGTGTAGCTGAAGGCTTAGTGGCCATCAGCTGAATCAATATCTGACCTGCTACCTGGTGTCCTGAGACGCTGACCCATCTTCCTCTGTCTAAGATTCAAAAGTGAAGACTCTAAAATGGACAGGGAGGGGTTTAACTCAGGAAGGGGAGAGGGAGCGTAATGGAGGGAGACTGGCCTTGGGTCAGGAGGCCTCAGTCCCATCAGCCAGGTCTGTGGCCCTGGGAAGCTCTTCCCAACAAAATGGGACTGATCATACCTGCCTGAATTGGCTGAGAGCCTTCAATAAGAGCGGATGAGAAAGTCCTTGGGAAGCCTGAGAATGCTGGGCCCACGTGAGGAATCCGGACCTGCCGTGTTCCACAAGGTAAGAAAATGCCAGGAAGTCCGCTCCTTACGCTCATGGCCTCTGATGGTAAACGGGTTTTTTTTTCTCCTTCTATTCCACATTTATTGAGTGCCTATCATTTTAATACCTGGACTACAACAGTGAACACAATTAAGGGAAAAGTCACCTTTCGCAGCAGGAATCTAGAATTCCAAATCCTCAGATGCTCTCCCAGCTCTCAAGAGAGTCACACAGAGACTATCAGTCCAGGAGGAGGAGACTCGCTGCTGGCAGACACTGTGGCCCTCACAGCTCAGTTGTAACTATTCTGCAAACCTCTAATCCCACCCTTCACCAATAAATCCAAGCAAACAACAACAAAAAAAACCATCAGTGCTTCAACAAGAGAGAACTTGGTTTTTCACTTAAGCTCATACATGGAACACATAAATGAATCATAAAAGTAAGTAGCCCAAAACTGATGGGCAGAGCACAGTGACCCTGGGGACTGGTTCCTCCCTCATGGTCTATAAGTAGTTGCTCGAACATAGCCATCAGTCCCGCCAACTCTAAGAGAGAGTAGAACAAGGTATGCTCTTCCCTTGGAGTATATTCCAAGAATTTGTATATACCATTTCTGCTTAGAGTTCATTGCCACTCACTTGGTCCAGCCCAGTGGCATGGAGTTTGGCAATAAAGTCACTGGGGGCAGCAATGAGCCCAGCTCAACCTTGGGAGATTAGGTATCAAGGAAGGAGGACAGAACAGACAGCAGGGCTAAACCAGAAGTCTCTGCCACAGTGTGCAAATCCCATGAGGTCCCTCCTTCCCTGCAGAAGCAGGAAGATCCCCTTAGACAGGTTCAATAGGTCCAGTGCTGTACTCAAAGTGTGAACCATATGCGGATGGTATACGAGTGGAAAGGGAAATGCATCGTGGAAGCTGTGATGTTGGCAGCACCAGAAATGGGCAAGAAGCTCTCAAGGCAGACCAAAGCCCTGGGGAATTAATGTGGGACTGTTGTTTTGTAAAATACCTGGTAGATGGCTTTAGGTCATCAGAGACCAGGGATAGTGGAGGTGGAAAGGAGGTAGATGAAGGATTTGCTTGAGAGGAAGTAGTGGCAAACACTGCACTTAGTTCTAAGTTTTCTTTGTGACGTTAGATTTTGGTGAGAAACCAAAGGCCTACAATTGGGTGTGACCGATGAGAACAGAGACTCAGGGAGGAGCCCATGAGTCTTGGGAAAGATTCAAAGGCCACAGAACAGACAATGGCCAGATACCGATCTACAGGACCCACTGTTAGAACTCCAGCTGCACTGGGCTGCACAGTGGCCTCCCAGACTTCCTGTCCACCCAGAACATCAGAATGTGATCTTATGTGAAAATAGGGTCTTTGCAGATGTCATCAGTTCACTTAGGATGAGGTCATACTGGACCATGAATCTGACATAATGGTTGTCTCTGTATAAAGAGGAAAAGACACACTAAGAAAGACACAGGGAGCCAGCCATGCGATGATGAAGGCAGGGAGATTGGGGGGGACTAATATGCAAACAGGAATGGCAAGGATTGCAGGCAGCCAGCAGAAGCTGGGAAGAGTCAAGGAGGGAGTGTGGTCCTTCCTGCACCTTGACTTTGGACTCTGGTCCCCGGAACTCTGAAGGAACACACATGTGTAGTTGAAGCCTCTTGGTTTGTGGTGCTTTGTTACCCCTGCCTTAGGGAGTGAGGACAACAGCCTAGTGTGTGCCCCAGCAGGTCACCAGCAAGTCAGCAGTGGAGGGTGGTCCCAATGCATATTCCAAGTCCTCAGGGCAGAGGCCAGGTAGGAAGAGGGAAATGACTTGACAGTGGAATGAGGGGTGAACATGTAGAAGAGGAAAAAGCTAAACTTTCAAATGGGGGGACACACCTCCAACTTCGGAGGCCCCCAGGAGAAAGCACTCCAATATCTCAGAAACAAAAGGAAGCCTGTCACAGCCTCCCTTCAGTTGCTATGGTGAATCTACTCTCCTTTGCCTCACAATGCCTTCGGCAGCCAAGCCCTGGTGCCCTTGACCATAACAGCAAACACTGCCACAACTGCCCAGCACATAAGAAACAGGGCTGCCTTGGACTTTCTCTTTACCACCGCTATTTTAGAAAGAAAATTAATTTGCATGATGCAGCAACGTGAATATGCCCTGAATCTAGAAAGCCAGTGAGCCATAAAAAAAATTGCAAGGCAGCAAGCTTCTATGTGCTGAACAAAATCAGGGGCCGGTACAGCTCCCACGCTCAGGGATTTGTAATCAGGTGCTTGAAGTTAGGAGTCAGCTAGACCCATAACTGAAGATTCTCATCTTCAAAATGAGGGGTTTGGCGTTCCTAAGCCAAGATCCTTTCCAGATTGGAAATTCTCTGACAGAGGGCCCGGGCTGAAACGCTCATTTTTCAAGGCATCTCGGAGCCAGTGCTTTGAAAAGCCATGCCCCTGCAGTACAATGACTGCTCACTGGACATCACACAGCTTGTCAGTCAAAGTTCTGCTAGGGTTTGTATAGTGTGTGACTGTC